AAGGAAGGAAGGAAGGAAGGAAGGAAGGAAGGAAGGAAGGAAGGAAGGAAGGAAGGAAGGAAGGAAGGAAGGAAGGAAGGAAGGAAGGAAGGAACATCAGCTGTCAGCTGGAGCATTCCTGTCCTTACCCTGGCCAAATAAGTTGTCTAAGTACTGTCTAAGTCCGATGCAGTCTTGTCTGGGAACTGCAGGATTACTACTTGTTTAGCAGTTTCCCCCCTGGTCACAAGGGACGTTTGTCAGTAATCTGACTTTGAGTGCGATAATGCTGAATTTAGCACCTGAACTGTACAGGATGTCTTTAAAAACCTTCAAAAATGTGGCGGCTGCCAACTTCAGGAGCGTTTCACTAGTGGCCAGGCCATGAGCTATTAAAAAAACAGTAATTTAAAAACAAAAATGCCCAAAAATGCCACAGGCACCATATACAGTTAAGGGCACTGGCTGTTAACGGAAAAGAAAACATACTGTTGCCGACAGATGTTGAAAAATAAGACTACTGGGTTCAGACCAGCATGTTCTTAGGCTATAAAACATGTCTGGAAAAACATTTTAATGCCTTTTTTTCTTTTTTTTCCGAGCACAGCTAGTCTATTAAGCCCTAAATATCAAAAGACCAATTCAGCTCCCATTAGTGTGACTGGGAACTGAGTCAGGCGCAGAAGAACGGGTTCCGCCGCCCTTACCCAGGACCACAGGATCCTCATCAACACGATGCTAGTTAGCCCTGTCCAAAAGCATGAACGTCACAGCAAGTACAAACGGAGCATCACGAGAAGGGGAGACGGGCTATGAGTAGCAGGGCTCCACCGTGACATATCCAGGGCTTTTCTTGACAGGCACCACGCTGCTGCTTGCAGGGAGCCCGCGGATGGGCAAGCGAGACTTCTGAAAGGCCCCACGGGAGAAAACTTGGGAAAAGAAGCCCTGTTGTCAGGAGGCTTGAATTGTCTCAGGTTACATCACTGCCTTATTTGCTCTTGGCTATAGACTGGTATTAATTCAAACTCACCTGCCTCTGCACCGTTGGCTGCCTGTACTCAGACCTTTGACTCCCCCCCCTTTTTTTTTTGGTAAAGCAATAATTATAATAGTGAAAAGGTTGGGTTCATTTCACACTGATTAAAATGAACACCACGCTGCTTTCTCAGAAATCTCTTTCTGAGAAAAGTATCATATTACTATTTCACTCATTAATATCAAAACAGAAAGCAACGGAACAAAGGTATCTTCGATTGAACCTGCCCCTAACTAAAACCCGAAATGGTATTTTAAATTTGAATGCAGTTAGTAAAATGGACCAAAAGCTCAGTAAAAGAGCTGAAGAGAATTAATTAGATTTATTCACTGATTAAAACAGATGTTCCAAGAAAGAAGTGACTCAGATGAGGCAGGGGAATAAAACTAGTAAGTCCCTTCATTTGCTAATAAAAAGGTAGGAAAATATCCCAGGAGGCCAAGAAACTGAACAAGAAGCTAATAACAAAAGATGAGGAATGCTTAAACTTTCCAACTGCATATTTTGCAAATGCATTTAATAAAATGCAGCTTTGCCATCAAGTCCTGTAGTGGGAAATTCACCATCCTATTATAGGACCAAGAATTGCTGATTACCGGACTAGTCCAGCGGTGGAAATAGCACTGTGGGGGGAAGCAGAGTCCAAAATGCGCCTGTAATGAAACAGTCCAAAGCCTGGTCTTTGGGGCTCTTTTGGGGATGTTCACAATTCTGAGGCAATTTGGTTGTCACACCTTCAATATTGCCACCTTCAGTAAAGGAAGCCCTACCAGCATGCAGAAACACGGCCTCCAAGGGCCTTTACTGGCCAAGAAAGCAGGCTGGCTTGCACCGGCCTGAAGACACGGAGCACAGGATTGAACAGCAACCGAAACAATAATTATCAAATGTTGTTCTACATGAGCAATGGCAAAACTGGTCCTCTGCTAAAAACTGGAAAAGCTCACACGCGAACGTTGATGAGGAAAACATTGTTTTGCTTCAAACACGGAAAAAGAAATAAAGCAAAAACAAACCTCTGCAGTACAAGTCAAGAACTGCAAGCTCTGCTCATGGCTGCTGAAAAATGTCACTGCTTTGCAAAACACACAGAACTAGAGCGGGTTACACCAGCTGGAAACCTACCCCTTGCTGCCCCAAACCCTTCCCGCCCGCACGGCCAGGTAGAACCGCGGGTGATCCGGAATGTGGCGGTGCTGTCGCTGCGGAGCAGCCGCAGGCTTCGTCGCCAGCCGGGCCGCAAGGCCTGCCTCAGTGCAGGCACCTCGATGCGTGAGCCGGATCCTGATCTGGGCATTTAGAGCTTGTTTAAAAACACGCATCACTTTTTATTTTAGCATGAAATTAGGCCCATTGAATTCTTCCACAGCACTAGGACTCTAAGCTTGGCTTGGAGTAATGACTGATCTAAGCACATGTAAGTGTATGCACTGAATTTTGGCTGAAGCATAATTCTGTCAGGAAAGAAAACTATGTTTGTTAGATGGTTTGGCAGAAAGCCTCAGTTCTTGGATTCGGTATTTAGTTTGTCTCCTTTCCTTCCCTTGTGACACCTGGGTAAGGTAATGCCAGCAGAACAGCTATTCGCGGCCTGCGCTTGTTTTAAAAGAACAACAAAAAAAAAGGTATGTTAGAATAATTCTTGGCATCCAGGATGCTCATTTTTAACATCTCTTTGAACATATCAGGTGGAATGCCATAATTAATACTGTGCATGTACCCAGTCTATAAAGGACAAACCAATGAGGCTGGTGTCTACCACAGACCACAGAAGGCTTCTGTGGGATGCCAGCCTAGAATTAAAATTATGAATGCCAAATTGGTTTGCCAAAAACCTTTTGAATAGGCTTTATCTAAAGGAGCAAAACAAAAAAAAATCATTAAAAATTGGATTTGATACTGTTTTTGTGAGTAGCAATACTAAGGTTCTGTGCTCTGTTTGACTTAATCCCATATGAATTTTGATAAAATAGCATAGTAGTCATGTTCTTTAGACTAAAACAAGTAAATAGATGGGCCTAAAAAAGCAAGATTTAAGGAGGTATCCTCATTCTGCTAGGGTGCCTTTAGTGGTTTTGCCAGAAATTATCTACTCTTGGTCCAATGCTATCCTAAATCTTTGGTAGAAGTCTAGAAGGAAATGAAATTAATCATGATAAAAACATCAGAGGGCAAAGAAATGTGTGGTATGGCAAAATGATGAGCACAAACCAGTTATAGTGATTGACTTGGAATGTCTTTTGACTGAGATTTAACATGCACGACATGAAAAGTTAAAATCAAGTGATAATACCCTCACATGAGCTGCATTGGTGGTTTTCTTTACTTGCAGGGAAGCTGAACTCAGAGCCGTGTGCATTTTAATATAGCACGCGGTTGTGTATCGAGGATCAAGGAATGTAAATCACACTTACAGGAGAGCTCTTGGTGTATCTCTGAAACACACTAAAACTGAAAAAGGTACCTACATAATTTCCTGCCTGCAAATCCCCCCGTGCAGTGCTAGTAACAGAGAGATGGATTTGGTTACCGCACGCAGGAGTACAGGGACTGTGTGCTGTACAGCGCGTGAGTGAGACTAACACCACAGCCACTTCTTATAAACAAATGTATAGCTGAAGACCAGCAAAGTTTTCAGAAACACAGCTCCAAGGGAATGTTAGCAGTGACTTGATTAGTTTGGAGAGACCTCCAGTCAAATAAATATTTCCGAGAGAAAAAGGGTCTTAAATCTTGCAGGAGCGCCCCCACCACACACGCAACCACTCCAAATACTCTACTGTAATGTAAATCCTGAAAATTTCAGGCACGAAAAAAGACAAATATTAATAGAGCTCATATTTGGCTGTAATTGCTAGACGTAGTATCTTCATACAGTGCACGTGATAGCTTAGCTGAATGTCAGTGAGGTTGTTGGTGAACTCTGCGGCCTGTTATTCAGGCAAGGTAGCTCCTTCTCTGCCAATTCCCCTTTAGATTCTAAATGTCCTTCAATCATATTAATACCAAGACTTCTAGCTAGAAACCCAGTCCCGCAAAAGAATAACCCTTTCCTTCACAAGAATCTGGCAGGTGCCAACTCCCAGCTTACTCGGGAATTAAGTAAATTTGCTGTTCTTAAAACATTTCATCATTTTGGCTCCATTTGAATAAGAAGCTATAATACAGCTGTTATAAGAATATTACCAGTAATTTTTTTTTGCATGAAATTCTAGGAAATACTTTTGGCAAAATGAAAATTGGCAGCATTTTTTTTAATATTCCATGAACATTTTGATCACTAAATGCTTTGTGAATTCTATGAAATAGAGCTTCGATGGGTTAAAATGGGGTTTATGGTTGTTGTAGTTGTTGTGGATGGCTCGTATGTAGAAATAACACCTAGGGCAGCCTGACATGTAGATCCACAAAAAGCTGGGACAAATTTCTGTTTCTGCAACAGCTGTCAGACACATAGCGCTGTATTAGATGGGTAATATAATTGCAAATACTAAACGACAAGTTCAGTAAACTACACGTGGGGGCGTTTCCACGCACAAGCCGCAGAACTCGGCAACGTGTCGTTCCTGCCAGTACAAGGAAGGTGCGTTTGTCGCCGCTGCGGTGCCCGCCGGGCAGGTGCGATCCGCACCTTCCTAAAGCAGCACAAATTCAAGGCTTGGAACCCTCCTGCCTGGACGTTCCCCCGCTGCCGCGGAGCAGGAGCGGGAGCGGGAGCGGGACGCGCACGGCCCGGCGGGCGGCAGGGGGCGCCCTCGCACCGCGCCTGAGCCCGCGGCTGCTGCCCGACGGGGCGGGGAGGAAAAACGGGAAAAAAAAGGAAAAAAAAAGAGAGAAAAGTGGAGAAAAAGAAAGAAGA